TTTGTCCTTCTGTACCTCCTCAGACTAAATTTATGTCCACGGTGGTGTGACTACATATATGCACAAAATAATAAAATTTAAAATTATCAGCGGACCTTCTTTTCCTTTGTGTGCATGTCTGGCCGCAATAACATGGGCATAAATTTAGCACAGTGAGGTCCTGAAGGAAAAACACATCACATGAAAACTTTTTCCTGCTTTGTCATTTATATATATATATATATATATATATATATACACACACATACATACATATATATACACACACATACATACATACACAGGTGGCCAAATATGATAACCTCTAGAGTGACAAGACCAACATTCATCCATAACTATTGCTGAATTGAAATTTCTTTAATCTCCCATCCATCCTTCTCTCAGTAATGGAGCTTTAAATTAAAAATTTGAACATTTATTTTTTTTTTTTAACTTACAGTACACATTCGGTGTATATTTTAATCCAATGAAGCCACAATTCATACCCAATAAAGCTCAACATTTTTCACTTTATTTACCTTTTGTATTAACTGTGAGAAGAAAAGGGGCTTAGCTACAATATATTTTTGACAAGCTGAATATTAAATGTTAGACAGCCACGTGGCTCACAAGTCATGGCTTGGCCACTTTTGATATATATAAATAGTGGATTTCAGTCAAATTGAACAGCAATTACAAGGAATCACCATTTAGTCAAACCAATTGTGCAAGAACAGACAAAACTTTTAAAATTAGATCTTTTTTTTATTTTAATGTTAACCTATTTAACCCTGCATTAGTCACATGGGGGTTTTTCTTGCCCCCCATTTTTTTTAAGTAGTTGTAATTCCTAGTTGGCAAATTTCTTTTGCTCCATCCAGCCGTAGCACAGTTGCAGTTCAGTTGTCATGGGAGGCAGACATCACTTTGTCTTCCTTGGAGTGTCCTGTCACTCTCACCTTACTAACAAAGGTAAGTTTTCATGAGTTATATATATGTATATATATATATATATATATATATGGTGGACTCTCTCATCACAGATAACAAACGAGGGCTCAGTAAAATAAAGATGTGGCCAACTTTTATAGACATATGTATCTCCTGAGGACTGCAAGTATATATATTTTATTACACATTCAGTCCTGTAATTATGTGTTTGGCTGATGTAATATCTTTCTATCAGTATTTTCTATTCATATTGTGGCCATTTTTGATGAATAAATCTTTTCTCTATTATTGCATTGGTGTGTTTTACCTACAATTTATAACATATTTTTATGTAATAAATTTATTATAATTTTGATTTCAATCAATAATTATATCTTCTTCTCAAGTTTCAATTCAATGTATATTGTAATGGAGATTCACTAATATTGTTTTCAGCAGTACAACAATAGTTTGCGTAAGTGTAACACTATAAGTATTTTTTCATTGGAATGAGTAAACACTGCAAGAGATTATTCATTTTCAGAAATCTGAGTTAACTAATGCAGGTTTAAAGGGAACAACTGCTTATTCGGACCAAAATTAGTGGTTCTCTTGTTTCCATTTCAGTGGAATTTACTGTGTATTCTATTTAATACCTGAGGCTATGGACATATTTGCAGAAACTCCAGGCAATGGTATTTAGGTATGATCCTATTATTGACATCATTCTTTTTTCTATTTTTTTTTTTTTTTAATAAATTATTTTTAAAAAAAATCTTTAAAGAAATTATTTATCTTTTAAAAACAGCATCTTTTTTTTTTTTAGGAAGAGGCAGATTGATGTTATTAATTTTTAAAATAATTGTTTTTTTTTTAATATCTTTCCTGCATAGCCCCAATGATTTTACTTCTTGCTCTTTTTTATACTTATACAACACTGCAGAGTAACCCTCTACCTTGAGTGGCTCTAGGCCTTGTATTGGATAAACATTAATAATAATAATAATAAAAATGAAATCTATAATAGGAATTTGTCTATTCTGTTGTTTAGTGTCTAATTATTTTATTTCAATTATCCTAAATTTTGAATTGCGATAATTATCAAATTTTACATTTAATTTTAATCAGTGTTTGATCAAAGTTTCTACGATATCGAAGAGGAAAACATTTTTCTATCCATCATAAATACACCAACAAATACAGTGCTGTTCGATAAACGTGACTCACCTGATTTTTTTTATGAAATGTTCTCTTCGATGAAACGAAAGTTGAGCTAAATTCAAAGGATAAGTGATCTAAAATTCGAAGAAGAAGCTTTGAAATCTCTTTGAATTTAGCAGTAAGTACTGTCAAGCATCCATTCAGTATAATGTTCTGGGGATGCTTTTCTTTTCATGGAACTGGTTTCTTAAAACCTATTGAAAAGACCCTCAGGAGCGAGCAGTACAAGAGAATTTTAGAGTTTTGTCTGCTCCCTTCTGCTGAAAGGGTGAAATTTGACCCCACCAAGCTCATTTTTATGCAGGATAATGTTCCCTGTCACAAATCAAAATTGATGAAGGAATACTTTGATGAGAAGCAGGTGAGTGTTATGACATGGCTGCCCCAATCTCCTGACCTCAACCCCATAGAAAACTTATGAAGCATGTTGCTCAACTGCTTTCTCGAGAGACTGTACTTTATAATGCTTGACAGTACTTACTGCTAAATTCAAAGAGCTTTCAAAGCTTCTTCAGATTTTAGATCGCTTATCCTTTGAATTTAGCTCAACTTTCATTTCATTGGAGAAGAGAACATTTCATAAAAAAAATCAATTGAGTCACTTTTATCGAACAGCACTGTATGTGTGTGCAAATAAACATTTTTATCCTTTTAGCAATTAAATGTTTTTTTGGTTTAATTATCTTTCACAAGATGATAAAATTCAAACAGTGACCCATAACTGACTCCACCAAAAAAAAAAAAAAAAAAAAAATTTGCTTCCTGTTGGCAGGGATGAAGAAAGTTTATTAAAAAAAAACCAAAAGAAAAAAAAAAACTGGTGTTGGGGTTAGAATAAACTAAATAATTGAAACTGAATTGTACTCTCAAATGGAATGAAAAAGATGACTGAGGGTGTAAGGGTGCGATGCTGACTTTTCTTCTTCTCTCTCTCAAACCTTTGGTTGGTTAGGAGTGGGTGGGGACAAGAAATAATTTTCCTTACCCCCAGCCCTAATAAAACATCACGAGACTTAGATTTTCCAAATCTCTCTATTCATATCAAGGCATAAATTAAAATTTATTTTTTTCATATGCACACTTCCCAATTTAAAAAAATTAAATCAACAAGTGTACAGATATATATATATATATATATATATATATATATATAGGGGGTTGCAAATGTAGGTATAAAAAGTTGTGAAAGGTAATAGCTTTATTAAGCTATTGTAATAATTTTAACTTCATAATCATGGCTATATATTTCCATAATAAAAATATACACCTATTTTTGCACCCCCAATATATATATATATATATATATGTATATGTGTGTGTGTGTGTGTATGTATGTGTGTGAAAAGAAAAAAAAAAAAAAAGAAAATCCCCATTTTAATCAATCAATAAATCTCTGGGTTTCTACAGCAAGTGACCAACATAGATATGAATAGAGCGTCTTGGTACGTTGACACCTATATGGGTCATGCAGCACCAAACAACCTTGGCATGGAAGCAAGACGGCAGTCTACTAAAATAACACATGTTCATTATCATAGAACTAGGAGATGGATATTGGCTGATGAGAATTTTTAAAAAAAACCAGGCACCATACCCCTGAAGGAAAAAAACAAAATCCTCATTTTTAACCTCGGTATTAATAAGGAGGAAACAGATAGTGTTTTTTTTTTTGTTTTTTTTTGTCTGTTTTGTTTTTTGTCTTTTACATATATTCATCATTCTCAAGTGCAGTAAAGCTAAGAAGTTCTGGTTCGTTTTTTAAAGTGACGACATTCTTGGATAGACTCCCACAGCTATTTCCCCCATGGCTTCCTGCTGAGCCGGTTGTATTTAAACAATATGACGGACAGGACCCGGAAACAGGAAGTGTTAAAGCCTTTTTAGAAGGGCTGCAGCCAACATTAGACTGGCCTTCTGCTCCACGAGCCTTACCCCGCCATTGTCCAAACTGATCAAGGGTAGAGGGGTCCTTACCGTGGCCTGCAGAGCCAGGCAAGTTCTTAAAGTCATAGTTTTCAATTGGATAAAACTGTTTCTGTTTTCTTTTTCTCGCACTGACACGGTAGGTAGAGCTACTTCTCTGTTTATTCTTGTGTTCAGTGTTGATGGGATTTAATGCAGCGTCCACAAGCAGGGCTCCAGAAGACAAAGGCAAATTGCCGACTTTCATACCCACCCCAGCTGTCCTCAATAGATGTGACATCCGAGAGTCTTCGAGCCCCTCAAACTCAAATTGTTCACGCTTCATCATAAAGTTTTTCCACAATAACTGGTGGTTCTCATTACTGTCATCACGCAGCCGTAGGCTTTGGGCTGAGGAGACAAATACTAATTTACTATTAGTGTTCGGATTCAAGTGCTGATGAAGTAGGAATTCGTCAACTGAGAAGACCTTGGCACAAGTGGAGCATTTTATACACTTGGCATTTTTTGCAGAGTAAAGACTCAGGATTAGTTTGCCAGGCTGCAGGCATGGTTTTTGGTCAACCTGTGGCACTGCATCCTCATGGTAAACTAACAGTGCCGGACAAAGGCTCTGCATTTTGTCTGTGATTAAACTCTTATTTGTCTCTCTGTTAGTAGTGGCAGCAGCTGTGACAGCTTTAGATTTCAGCTTTACTTTAAGGTGGCTTGATTTACCGTGACTGCCCAGGCCGTGGCCGTTCCGGGAGTTTTTCCACTTGGAAGTTGGTGGGAGTTTGCTAGAAACAGCAGAAAATGTAGAGAATGGCTTTGGTTTACCATTTCTCGAAATCTTTTTCTGCTGATTCCCGGTTCGAACTGTAGTGTGGTCCCGAGCCACAGACGACAAGCCGACCCTGCCATTACACTGTTTTAACTTACTATTCTCCTGAGAACCCATATCTCTTATGGATGTCTTCAAATCCTGCTCCCCACCCCCTGTAATCTTATGTGATGTTGAAATACGATTTTTCAATCCAGCCTTACTTTTCAAGTCTACAACTAACTTGGCCTGTTTTGTAGGCATTGAGAAGACCATAGATTTTTCTATGGCGTCTTTATTGGGATCCATGTGTAAGGTGTTGACAGAGTCTAGCATTGATAAGGTGGTGGCAGAGGAAGAAGAGGTGGAGGAGGTGACAGTTGCTGCTGCCGGTGACGATGGTGAAGCTGAAGACGACGTTCCTGTTTCGCCACGGATAAGGTTGAGGAAATTTATTTTCTTGTGTCTCAGACGTGACTTGCCGTTCATTGAAGATGAAAGCATAAGCCTTTCCTTTGAGACATTCTTTACTTTTAGTTGCCCAGGTGCTGAACTCAAAGGTGATGGCGATGATAACACCTTTCCCTGTTCTTCTTGCAAGTTCTGATCTAATGCTTTCTCAAACTTTTCACACTTTATCCTGGAATAAAACAAAGAAAAAAGCAAAAATAGATTAATTAAATTTTTTTTTTATTGTTAATAAATTTTTTAATTCATTTTTTTAATTGTTTAATTATTTTTAATTTGTTAGGTTTCATTTTTTAATTGCAAAAAACAATAAAATGAACATTATGTATGTGTGTGTGTATTTAGGCAGCAAATTCTCTTTTACGCATGTCTAATTAAATAAATTACAGACATTACATTAGTGCAAAACTATATGCAAAATGGTTGATAATGTAAAGGAACAGTTTTTTTCATGCTTTAATGCACACATGACTATGATATTATAACAGATATCATTTGTTTTATACAACTGGGGGTGGGGGGTTGACCCTCAACATTCATTTGCACCCCACCTCCATCCCGTGAAAATCACTTGGACAAATTTTAGTGTGCACATTATTACTTGTGACTTAAAGTCTACCCCACCACTCAAAAGTCAAAACACTCTGGTGCAGATAAAATGAACATTATATATATATGTGTGTGTGTGTGTGTGTGTGTGTGTGTGTGTGTATTTAGGCAGCAAATTCTCTTTTAGGCATGTCTAATTAAATAAATTACAGACATTATGTCTGCTAATTTTTAACAAAATCCGTTCACACTCACGAATAACCTTCCGTGTATTGATATTAAAGGATGAGAGAAATATGCTATATCTTTTTAAATTTCTTTTATTTTCATTTCCCAAGTACTTTTGATCTTCTTCCAAGATCATCTTCAGGAGTGCAAGTAATACAAAACTATATGTTCTTCATTAGTACAAGTATTTATACAAAGATGTGTGTTGTTATCCATTACCGTAATTTTTTCATTATGCTTTTAAATGCAAAACGGTTGACAATGTGTTGAGTGTTCATTAGAATGTGAAAAATTTATCCATTATGGAATTTTTTCTTCTATGTTATAATGTCACGGCCACACATGCATTAAAGTGTGAAAAAACTGTTCCTTTATAGGCATTTCAGAATATTACTGCAGTATTCATAGTTGATTCTGTTCTGTGCCAGCTTTAATTTTTTAATATGGTTTTGACCCGGGGTAGTAGTACTATGGGCAAAAAGTGACACCCCCCCCCACACACACACACACCAAAATCAAAACACTCTGAGAGTGCAAAAATACCAGCAAAACATTTATAGCAAAAATTACCAACAATACAATTTATAGTAAAAAAAAATTACCAGCAATATTTATAGTAAAAAAAATGCCAATAATATCTATTTATAGTAAAAAAAAAAAAAATACCAAGAATACATATTTAATAATTTCTTGGTGGCTGTAGAAAATTGAATAAGAAAAATTCCAAAATTTTCTATCAAATAATCTTTATTTTCCCAAGTATTTTCAATCTCATTTGAGAGCAACTTCAAGGTTGCATATCTATGAATGTATTGTGTGTTAACACCATAAATTCTAAATATTTTTTTACCTCTATATAAGGGAGGTAACTTATGTGATGTTTTTGTTTTTAGATAGATATTAGTCGAAAATACATCAGTGCTCCATCAAGATAATAAGCAAAAACTTAAAATTCTGTAAGTCCTTTATATAAGAGAATTGCAGTCAAAAATAATCAACTATGAGTATAACAACAAAGTTCTTAAATGTCTATCCACTATTGCTATACGTTCCCTCTCTCTACTCTCTTCTACTATACAGATTACAATTCTCTTCTGATCATTATACTATTTGGCAATTACTACTTGAACAAGTATTACTAGTGCAGATATTATTGGAATGTGTTACTGCTAGTACTGGCATTTACAAAGCCTCGTCTATGATAAGCAATTTTAAAGTGATAACAAGCTTTCGCTTGACATAACAATTGTGCTAAGTGAAGCCATCCAATGTCACAAAACTAATGTTCAATAATATTCGGATATAAATTAAAAGAAATAAAAAAAAATGAAGATAAACAGAGAAGTAAAAAGGTGAGAAAATTTTTTTTAAAGAAAAGACAAACACTGTGTAACCAGTGACATATTAATAGATGCTTAAAAGATTAAAGGGAGGTAATAAGTATTTACCTAAAATATTTATTTAATGGGCAGTTAAAGTAGGTTAAAAAGATTTACCCAGAATCAAAATACTTTAGGAGAGAGTATTTTTTAAGGGTACCAAATATCACAAGCTCATGACGTTTATTCAGCAGGTTGGGGTCATTAATATTTTTGAGTATGAATCTTTTTTTGAACAAACAGGTTTACCTCGGTCACTCTGATCAGAAAAGGGTGTAGTCTTGGCAACAAAATTCCAAGTTACTACAGGTGTGTAATTATTTGTTTTAATTTCCCAGTAAAATTTTGAGAATGCAGTGGTATTTGTATATTGTTTATTGGTAAGAGTCATTTTATGATGGTAATATTGGGTTTTCTAGTGGTTTGTGGTGGAACCAAAATAAAACTTAGTTTCACCATTATGTTTAGTGCTAGCCTTATAAATAATGCCTTTAGTCATACATTTATCATTTAGTGCAGGGGTTTTCAAACTTTTTGACTTGCGGACCCCTTTATATTTCAGACCCCCTTATAAACGCTTATGAAATTTATACATAAATATTTGCTGAATATAACATATAATTTTGCATTAATGCAAATGCCTAACAGCCAATGAGAAAGCCGGAAATTGCAAAATAGATCCAAAATTCAAATCCTTTGGTTCCTTCTCTGCATGAATAGAATCCATTATCTTTACCAATTTAAGATACAAATTATATTAGTATATCAAATCTATGAAATAGTTTATTGAATCAATTTATTTCATGATCGGAATATGTTCTCTGGCAGGATTCCTATAGCAAAATCATTAGCAATGCATTTACATTATACATATAATAGCCCTATTCTATCAGTAATGCTTGTATTCATTCCTGACCACTGACAATCCCTTTCTTCCTCACTTGCAATGCATTCCTATAATAAAATCATTAGCAATGCATTTCCATTATACATTTAATAGCCCTATTCTATCAGTAATGCTTACATTAATTCCTGACCACTGACAATCCCTTTCTTCATCATTTACAATGCATTCCTATAGCAAAATCATTAGCAATGTATTTCCATTATACATATAGACCTATTCTATCAGTAATGCTTGCATTCATTCCTGACCACTGACAATCCCTTTCTTCCTCATTTGTAATGCACTATTGAAAGCTGAAACATACTGATAACAAAATTTGCCATTCCGCCGTTTCATCTTCAAATAAAGCAGTGGCTAATAATTCCTAAAACTTCCAGAAAAAGTATTAACAAACGAATATTGTTGAACTGTGAGAGAAGAGCAGGAAATGATGATAATGGACAATCATAGCTGCGAACAATCGTGGATAATGTCGATGTGTCTTGTTATATTTGATTATCAAGAATTCAAAAAAGAGTTTACGGTGAAAAGAAATTACAAGGAAGATAACTTTCGTTGTCGACAAAGAGTTATTCCCCTTGAGAGTGTTTAGCAAATACTAAAAAGTGTAGTATTTAATTAATATTAATTTCGTTTAGTCACTAACCTGCACAGCAGCACATGCCTACAGCACCCGGTATTCCCAAACAGTCACCCATCTAAGTACTGACTCGGTTCGACGTTGCTTAACTTTGGTGATCGTGTGGGTACCTGTGTTTCAACGTGATACGGCCATAAGCCCCTATTTTTTTGAGGGAACCCTTCTATTCAAGTACCGTAAATTCCCCATGTACACCGTCATTACGCACCCCTAAAATGGTGCTGAAAGTGTGGGAAAATGCATCTACTCACGCGTAATACGCACCCCTTGTTTGGTAATTAAACCCTATAAATTGTACCTCTCCAATTTCATTACGGCCAGCGTTTCCTACTTTTATTAAAGAAAATGGTTTTAAACATAGATTTTAATTTAGTTTTACTTTTAATTCTTATTTTATTTTACACCTGTGCGTATTGTATTTGACATGCTTATGAGGTCGCAATCACCAAATGTTAGGGTCAAATTTTCATGTCTGTGATGAATAGGTTATTTCACAACTGAAATCCACCTTTGAAACGGCAATTTTTTAAAGACTTTTTTGTAACTGTGCATAATACGCACCTCTAATTTTGCTTCTTTTTTTTTTAAGAAAAAAATGCGTATTATACATGAGGAATTACAGTAGTGACTTACAAGAATCATGAAATTAATTATATTTTTTTACTTTTCAGATAAACATTTTTATTCATAATACTATTATTAGATATCATAGTTTTTAATTTCCATTAAAGAAAATCGAAAAGTTCAATTGCTTTGCAAGTTCATTTTTTTAATTCTTAGAAGAATTCAGGGATTATTGGTTAAGGTGACATCAGATGGTTAATCCAATTCAAAATGGATTTAAAAATTCTTCATGACATTTTCTATGTACAGGTCTGTAATCATAAAAATCAATGACGACATTTTATTCATGAACAAAATTTTTTCAGATGTAAATTCCCACCCCCACTTCATTTCTTCCATTCAACCATTTTGTAGTCAACAGCTGTTTTCTAGGGAAAAAGAAAATTAAAAAACAAAAAATAAATAAACAGCTCTTTAGTCTTTACTCACCACTAATAACAAACTGCTTGTAATTTCTTTCACTTACACATCTTATTGCAACTGTTATTCTACAGATATTAGTAAGCATAAAGAAGTTTAAAACAATATTACTACCATTCTATTATAATTGTGCATGTCCCTTCCTTTGTTAGTTCACACGACCATTACGTCCTGTCAATACCTCATAAATAATTGACTATTCTGTTTTGATCACGTGGAAAGATGGGGGGGGGACATTACTTGGTTTCAGTGAGAAAATGAATGAAAGAAAGAAGGAAAAATAAATAGAGAGAAAGAGAGAGAAGGCCAAAAAGCGATTGTATTTTCTTGCTGTCCCACACAGGCAAGATTTGACACTAGGTCAGTTTAATGTGTAGAGCCCTAGTGCATTCACCCAGACCAAGTCCAAAAATAGCCCAGTCCCCACAACCATCAGTTGTACTGGCATTGGTATTAATACACCCCCCCACCAACTCTTTAGTACAATGAGGAGAGGGAGGTGATGCCATAGGCAGCTGTTTCCACAAAGCCTGGCGCCTCTCAATAAAATTTTCAGTTACACTGTCAACAGACAGAGACACACGACTGATAGATGAAATGTAATTTATCTGCAGATACTACACTTTGATCCCAACTAAATGACCAAAACGTGATGGAGACTGATAAATATGCCATTTTTCGGATGAACAGTATCAAATGACAGAAAACGACTAAGGCAATCGCCAAAAATGCAGTTACCATAAATAAGATCGACTGCTGAATTATTTTAAAATTATTATTAAGAAAAATGTTCATAAGATGGGGATTTGGCTAGTTATTATTATTTAATACCGCTCAGTCACTGTTCACCTAGTTTCTACTGTGTCTAAGTGTGTACTACCTGACCCAGGGATTGAACTCACAATTACTGTCTATATCTACATGGAAAGAAGAACTAGGTCTTAGTCTTAGCACATATGACAGACATATGAAGGCTGACTGATTTGTCTTTTATAGTTTATCAACCTTTTGCAGGTTATTTAAAGACAAAAAATTTTTTTCGGGTTGTAAGATATGTTTTTTGGCAGGAGGGAGATGATTTACCGATAAAAGTCCATCAAGGGGAGGGGAGGACACAGGTGGATTTGAATTAACGGCCTATCTTGTCAACTTTGGGAACACATTTTCCTTTGTCAAATTTGGATATTTACGATATACTCAATTACTTCAAAACATTTTAGAATCTTGCATGTGAATCTCTTGCCAGTAAAGTCTCTCTTGCCAAAAATTTTTTTTTCGATAATTCCAGTTTTCTTCACTGGAGCTACATTTTGGCGTGCAACTCTCTCTGTCCCATTTCTGTTTAATATAAAACAATATAGTGGAAAAGAGTGACAACAAGACTAAATCTTCACTCAAGCTAACCTTGCTTGACTTCAGTGTGAATGTTCAAACAGGGTTTCAACAGGTCAATGCTATTTTTACGGCACAAAGTAAGCCAATAAACTTAGTAGGAGTACCAAAAAGTTT